TGAGGTGTAATAAGAATAACTAAAGTATTATTAACACACACACACACACCCCTGTGTTATTTTTATAATAAATTAATATTCATTTTGTGTTTAAATGTTAATTTTTTTCCCCAATTTAATCTTGCTTCCTTCCTCATCAGCAAGAAATTAAGCATAAATTTCCTTTAACTTGCCAAGTTTAATCATAAAATATTTAGCAAGTCATTCGAAAAGCATAAAAAGATGTTTATCGCAAAAACGTGCGGAGTCTTTAAAAAAATCAACATACAAAAATACAACAAATGTTGTGATTAGAAATAAATACATATTTAGAGAGATAATTGAATTCAGAGTGCTGCAGTTGAGAAAACAACCAGCGTACAGTTTGAGAATGACTACGAAGAGCGTCTCACTTTGATTGCGGTTTGATTAGCACTGAGCTTTGCAGCTGCAGATAACAGCAACAAGTTTTCATCAACTCCCTTCTTCGTTGGCTTTTCAATTCATTCATTTTACTATTTCGTTTTGTGCTTGCACTTCTCACTGTACATTTGATAATGCCTATTTATAGAGCATCAATTGCATTCATAACAGTCTCTCTCTCTCTCTCTTTCGATCACGCGCCCTCTTTGATTCATAACTGTTAACTTGGCAAAGTTGTTTTTAGTATGGTTTTTTTTTGTCTCACTTTCGTAAGCCACAATCTAAAAATAGACCAGCATCTTTTGTATATTTTAAATATATATTTATAATTTGTATATTAATGAACTTGTGTTGTTCGTGGCTCGGCTTTTAATCAAAACCCGTTTATATACACATTTGTAATATATTAATTAGTAATAAAGCGCCGTTTTGTTATGTTAATTCAATTCGCCGCTGCAGGCGATGATGTTCAATTCGCCGCAGCAGGTGCGGTGAAATCAGAGCAACAACAGGCGAAATCACAATTTGTAAAGCGCTGAAAACAAACTAATTATGAGCCTAATCATAAATAAATCAATTAAAACACCAACAGCAACAATCGACGATTATCAGACGCGTCGCAACTGAGTCGCCGACGGCGACGTCAGCGCATATGTCGCATTGTTGTCGTCGTTCGGTGCTGCTGCTGTCGTTTTTACCGTTTGATAACCTAGAAAAGCGATTATAGTGTTTTTTTTAAGTGGGGGCTCCAAAGCACGCTTTGACTATACTCTAGCGTTAAATGGACAGAAACTTAAAGTTGATAACAGTTGCGTTAGTGTGTGTGCTGTAAAAGCTGCGCTCGCCTTAAGCGACAGCTGTGCAAACAACACAACAGTTTGACAGCCAGCGATTTATCTTTCCAACTGTTAATAAAATTGTTTAGTTTTTAGCTGCTGCCCTTCCAAGCGTGCTTTATGGGTAAATATTTTCAGAATCGTTGTTTGCTTATGTAAATCTCAGCATTGACAGCTGCCTGCTTGAACAGTTTGGTAGCAATAGAAAAACAGCTGCTGAAAACTACGTAAGCAACGAGGAAAGTCAAACATTCCGCTATGTTTACATAAGACAACAATGTAACAGGATTCCCTCCCTGCTCCCAATCCAAATATTAAAGGTATACTTGTTGTTTTAAAGTTTGACAGCCACTACTCAAGCGCTCTTGTTGACAAAAGCAGTGCCTGGAAAGCAAAGGAGTCTTCTCTTGATCTTGTTACAGCTGTTAAGCGTAACGGTTGCTTCTGTTTAGACGGTCTTCCTTACAGCTGTTAATAACAGAGCTGTGACGTCCCTGCTGCTGTTAAGCTACTCTCACTGTTATACACTCTTTTGGTTTCGTTCAAATAAATGCATATTAAATGATGCCTAATGAATGATGTATCAATTGACACACGCGCCTCGCATATAATTTTTTTTATTATTAAGGTTTGCCCATTAAAGCTTAACAGCCTTGTTTTTTAACGCCACCGCATTTTGTGTTGTATTAATTATACAAATGTTTTCTGTGTTATGCATAAATTCATGCTGCTTAAGCCAAAATCAAATGAAGCAGAGGCCTACGCATTAACAGAGAAGATGCAGAAGAGAGCAGCAGCAGCAGTTGAGCAGGAGGAAGTGTCTGGAGGGGAGGGCAATTTAAAAGAAGCTGTTTGTCAACTGCCTTTTGTCAGTCTGCTGTTTATCAGAGCAGAGTGAGGGAGCGAGAGCGAGATAGGTATAGGTATGGGTTGTGAGTGTGGGAGCGAGGGAGGTATAGGTTGGGGAGCCTTTGCTCTGTCCTACACCCTGCCCTACATACGACAACGACTACTCACCCATCCCACCACACCCCCTCCTACCTAGCTGGCCATTGGTCGACGTTTGGAAATCTCGAAAACTTGTTTATACAACAAAAATGTATAAACAAGTTTTTTTTTCGTTGCCTTCTGCTGCTGTTATTTTATTTCGGCTGCTGCCTTCCTTTTTTTTTTGTATTTTTGCTTTGCTTCTGGCTTGTCGTCAGTTTCGTAATTTATTCTAAAAGCGTTCCGTTTTCGGGCTCTATATGGAGAGAGCAAGAGAGAGAGAGAGAGAGAGAGAGAGAGAGAGAGAGAGAGAGACAGAGAGAGAGAGAGAGAGGGAAAGAGAGCGCGCGAATACATATTTATATATAGTAAATATATATATACATATATATATATATCTTTCTACATATGTGGCTGATTTGTATTTAAATACTCGCCGCTTTTGCTTGGCTTTTTTAAAATTCTTTTCTATTTTTTTCGTTTTGTTTTGTTTTGCGCTTTGAATTATTCAAAATAAAACTTTTAGTATATTTGCCAAGCGCGCCTTTGTTATTATTGTTGTTGTAACTGCTGTTGTTGTAACTGTTATTGTTGTTGTTGTATGCCTCAGCGCTTTTCAAGTGGGTGTTGCAGAAACAATAACAGCATGTAAAAACATGCTGCTTTTAGTATTTTTATAGACTGTTCAATGCTCTGTTAATAACATTGTACTTGTTGATTACATGTGTGGATTAGTGCCTCTTAAACTGTGACCTAACAGCTGTTGCTCTACATGTATTAGTATGTTAGACATTTGAAGACTTGATCTGTAATTTAACTATTGTTGATTAATGATTAATTGCTAAGACAATATACCCCATTTGAGGACTGATGTGTATAGGGTATTACAAGAACTTTTGCACGATCTACAGACCGCAACACAAACGAAACAAAACCAAACAATAATAACTATAATAATAATAATGCATAACAAGTCAATTTCCATCAAAATAGACGCATAATGCAAACCAATCCACCCACAAGAAACCAAAGTTGGAGGGGGAGAAGCGTTTGCGGCATTTGTTTGCGCAACGGGTGTGGCTAAGCAGTGTATATCTGTATATATATATATATATATGTGTACGTAAGTTGCTTATATATATATATGTATGTAAGTTGCTTAACCTATGCCCTTAATTGTTAATGTAATTGAGCTGCTCTGCTTCTGCAAACAGTTTGAGGCTTTACAGTGCCTGCCAAATTGTGGCACGTGCAACCGGCAAGCCAGCAGCAACGGGAAGACCGAAAAGACCCAAAACAGAAACAACAAAACTGAGCAACTACAGCTGTTGTCTGACTTAACCTTGAAAAACGACACACACACACACGGGCAAAGAGCAAAAGTTTTTTGTTTTTGTTTTTTTTTCTTACGCGTGTCGTGTCTTGTATATTATATTTGTTTTCTTTTTTTATTTTATTTTTTTGTCAAGTCATCGCCACAAAAAAAGATAAATAAAAAGAAATCAAGCTAAGATATTCAAAAGAGGCATTACTCATTATTCATTATGTCGAAGAATGAATAGGATGCGGGAATAAGACAAACGGCAGCAATTTAAGCATATATCACATATTAAATTATACAATAATTAATTGGTCCAGGCTTATGCAACTGATAACAATCAACTTTATATATTATTTAATTATCGGAATATAATAGTGAAACTACTATTTAGAACAGGGTGTTCTATTTAAATCTTACCATGGGGATTTAATTCTGGTTTCGTAGAAGTACTATTCAAAACAAGGTGTACTTGATCTTAGTACTGTTTACGAACAGGGTGCTCTCATTAACTCCCCCTTTCACCTTTCATCAAAAGCCGCAAAACAAAACGGACAACAACTAACAAAAACAAGAACAACAGAAAAAGAAAAACAATTCTTGATGACTTCACTTAACCCCCGTGTGACATTTTCGTATGTTCAACAAAAAAATAAACGAATTGTATAAAATTATGCAAATTTACACGAAGCGATGCCTATAGCCCCACCCCCTACCCATACCCGCACACATAAATCATAAAAATATGTGATATGTAAATGTCATAAATTAAAAGAACGCATCCCGAAACGAAAGCGGAAAAACTAAAAATAAGGCGATCGCTTAAAGGCCGAAAACAACAACACCCATACATATACATACATATATACGAATGAGAGTAAATATATGTATTTATGTATGCATGTGTGTTTGTGTATGTATGAAAACAGGCAGGCAGGCAAAGAATGCATACAGGGTGTTCTGGACGCAGGAGTCGGCACACAAAACAGGTGTAGAACAAAATCAAAAAAGAATATATATATATATATATATTGACCAATTGCCAAGCAAAAGACAAAAGGCAATTTTTTTCTTTCAGTCTTTTTCGATGTGTCTATGTGCCTATGAATGACCCTATTTGTTTTTGTGCTGCTGCTGCTGCTTCTTCACTACCATACATACATATCTATGCGTGTGCGTGTGTGTTGTGTCAAGCATAGGCAGAAACTGCGTTTGGCCGGCACACAAAGCATAAAGAACGATAATACACCCATACACACACACGCACACAGGCACGCACAGGCAGCGGCACACAGCATACTTATGTATGTGCTGGGCTTCTTATGCTGCGTGGAAAATGGTTGCGCATAAGTCGGAATGTGATAAAAATGCTTAAAATTAAAATAAAAACCAACACACATACACATATATGTTGTTACGTTATGTTCATATTAAATATTAACATTGTTCAAACTTACAATCTTGAAGAAATCCATAAAATTGCTGTAGTACAGAAAATCCCTTGGATATTTTTGCACAAACATCTGCGACAACAATGCTGGTAGAGACGAATCGCCGGCTGCGCTGCCGCTGTTATTGTTGCTGCTGTTGCTGTTATTATTATTGCCATTGCCGCCACCCACTCCACCCGGAGCAGAGTTGCTGGTGAAGCTGCGCTGCAGCTGCGGCGAGGTGGCATTAAAATTCAAGCATTCGCACGAGATCATCATGATTAGTTTAAGTTTTGATTTTGGTTGTTATTATTATTATTAATGTTTAACGGTTAAGCTGCTTTTGTTAAATTGTAATTGGGTGTTTTGTTGTTTTTCGTTTTGTGCGTGACTTCCTTGTTCGTCCTCTTTCACGGTTTTTTTTTTCTTTTGGGCTTTGCGGCGCGGGCGCGTACAAAATCACTAATAAAAAAACACCCGCAACTATCTTAGTACATCATTTTAGCGTCCGTCCCGTTCAATGTGCATTTTTCGAATGAGCTTCGATTATCGAATTTCCCGATATGCCTCGGTGTGCGTGTGTGTGCCAACATGCAAAACGATGTGCAGCCAACTTCACGCTGCCCACAAAATGTTAACTGTCAGACCGGCAAGTCCGGCATTTTATCGAGCTGTTATACGAAATTGTACAGGTTTCATGCAAATATCAAATAAACAGATTATATCATAATGAAAATGTACATTTTAGCTAGCTATATGTTGTATTTATACTACTTCATTGATATTGTTGCATGTTTTGTCGTAGCTTGTAGCGTGTGCAATTTAATTAGTAACATATGTTGATGCTCAAGTGGTACTGTTAACTAACGCAAGCGCTGTTAACGCAGATGGGAGCACTGTACACTGATATCGATATAATGTGTACGGTCACATTGTTTTGGCGTTGCTTCAAATCAGCTGTTTGGTTATTTGGCGCAAAATTTGTAAAGTTTGAGTTAATTTAATAATAAGTAATAATTTATTAAAAGTGTGTAATAGAATTGTTGTGCTTGTGCGAAATGTGTTCTAAAAAGTAGTTGACTACTTTATTAAATTGAGTCAGAAGAAGGTATATATGCATCTTGTTTATTTTATCATTTCATTTCACTTCATTTTTCGTTTTTGGTCTGTCTTATTAGAAAATTAAAAATGCATTTGATATTCTTGCATTTGCCTCTTCACACTTTATTTCTTTTGCTGTGCTTTGCCTTGGATTTGATTAAATTCAAGACAAGCCTGCTTTGCTGCGGCAAAACATCAAAAATGCATGCAAATTACAATAAAAAATCTACAAAAACTAAGGCGTCGGCAAAGCGCCATCTTGCGGGGGTGGGGTGAGGTACGCTTAGTGTTGGTAGCTCTAATTTTAGGTTAAAGCTGAATAACTTAAAGCCTTTCACGGGCATAACTTGTTCAACCGATTTTCAAAAATTATTGCTTTTTGATTATTTTGTTATCTGTAGAATAATATTGCATATCAATTAGAAAACTCGATTTCAGGTTAAAATTCGTGCAAAAATCTTAGCCTAAGCAAACAAGTAGATCAAATCTTGACATAGCCATAACTTTTTCAAAAATCAACAGATTTTGGAAAGTAGTTTAACCTCAACAATAATACTACATTCAAATTCATTATTAATCCCATATTAGAACTGGCTCAGTTTTTGCCACTTCAAAAGTAGTTTCATAAAGATTCGTTCGTCCAATTAAATACTGCACTCAAAACAGAGTATTATACGCAACGGATACGCCCCCTTTAACTTTTCGATTGCAGCATATTTGGCAACAGAAATCATAAACGGCGACACGTGCCTAGGTTAGCCGGGTTAGCCAGCTTAGCCTGCTGGAGGCCATCTTCATAGTCCAGTTACAACTTACCAGTTTTTTCCTCTTCTTCTTCGTTGCTTCTTCTTTCTTTTTTGCTACTGTTTTCATAAATTATGCGCGGTTTTTGGCACCTGGCTTTTTTGGGAGGGTTTCGCAGCGGCCACAGTCTAGTTGAGGGCGCGTGCAGCAATTTTACAGCTACACAGAAACATCAACCTAATGAAAGTGTCGAGCTCAACATACATATATATATATATATGTACACTCAGAAAAAATTTCCTCATTTTTAGAAATTCACCTTATTTAGAAAGTAAATTACTGAAAATTATTTCAGCGTATATTTTCAAGAATTTAAAAATAATACAAATTTTCAGTTTGCTTTTTCAACTCTAACATTAGCTATTTTGTTGCTTATATTTTGTTAGTAAACATTAGTATTTTAAGAGCATTTTAGATGATTTACAAAATGTAATTTGATAAAACTTACGACTCGGCCTTCAATACAGAAAATAGCTAAAACATTATTATAAAAGCCGCAACATATTTCTATTTTAGTGCAATTGTCATTTTAGGGTGCTTATTTTTCTGAGTGTATGCATGTGTTTGCTATACGAGTATAGTTGTAATAGCGACTTGAACTAGGCTGGTTTGGTTTGCATTTGGGGCTGTAATTGAAATTGCGTGGCATGCGCGGCATTAAGTCATAAAAGCAACAACTTGAACCAGTTTGTCACACTCTGAGGCCACTTTGGAGGCACGTACTCACCAAGAGGTCAAAACACAGCTCGAGCTCTCTGGATCTCTGGACACATATATACACACACACACACACTCAGGCCAGGGCCAACATCATCTTCTGAGACCCAAAAAAAAAAAAAAACCAAAAAAATTCAACTTGTGAAACAACTACAAACTTTTTTTTGGGGAGGTCATAAAAGGCAAGTGTAGAACAAGTTAAGACAAAATTCTTGCTCAAATTTTAATGAAGGTTTGAAGTTCTGGGGAAACGTTTACCCAGAGCATCTTTCATTCCGTTGTAAGTTGGAAGCTTATGTAATATATGTGCCTCATAATGCCACCACATATAGATCCATATAGCGTCCATTGACTTGCAGTCGGCGAGAATTCTTTGGCGAATCTCCAGCTGAGAATTAATCTGGACATAAGCTGGGAGCTCTCCAGTTTGTGTCAGATCATGAATATAATTTCTTAGAAAAAGTAGTTCACATAATCGGTTAGAAGATATAGCCTTGATCCTTAAGGCCGTCTGCTTATGAAAAAAGACTTTAACAGCTGCAGTAATAATCATGGTAATATTTACATTTAAAATATTAATACATATTTGTCTGACTCTCAGATTATTTACTCATCTGTTTTTCCTTGCTTTCTCTGTATTTTCTACAATAATAATAGTAATCATAATAATATTTACAACAGCTTAAGCATTCCACAATTGCCACACCAATTAATCTAGACACGATCACACGTTAAATGCCTCAATGGGAACTTATTCTTCTCTTTCTTCTTTCTTCTCGCTGCGCTTCTCCTTTATTTCTTGCACAATCAATTGAATTCCTTACCCAATTCGAACGTGCCGCAATTGCGTTATGTAAATTGATATGTTTATGTATATGGATAGCGCAATTGATTGATTTCCCATTCAGAATATATATATATATATATATAATATGCAGCACCAAACAGCAGTAAAAACAACAAAAGATCTCTGCGGGAATTGCTTTCTTTATTTTTGAGGCTGGGATTTGCGGGCGGTTTGTTTTTATGCGCAATTTATAAAGTTGCTGACACAATAAATAGCAGCGAGGATAGCGCAAGGATCACGCCACGATCGGAGCCAGGATCAGGATGAGGACACGGCACGGCACGGCACCAAGGCACCTCCGCCTTTAATTCTCGCGAAAAATTAAAAAGGAGCAAAAGTATTGTATTACCAAAGTGAGGCACTGAGCGAGAGAGGCAGTGAGGGAGATAGGGAGTGAGAGGACGAGTTTGTGACCCAAGTTGGTTCGCCTTGATAAGAACGAAGCAAAGAACCCAAGCACTACATCAAAAGGTCCTTTAAAGACAATGGGGAGCCAAAAGCATTTCCTTGCTCTGCGCCTTATTATCCTTATTATGCCTTATCACAGCGAAAAGATCAAATTTCAACAGCGAAACCACAGAGACAGAGACAGAGAGAGAGAGAGAGAGATGCTGGGAAAGGATGTGAACATCTTTTTGTGCAAGCCAGAAATATAACTGAATGGCAACTGAGAACCCAACATGGAACTGGGGCTAAAAAGCTTTTTTGTAGGCGGCTCAGAAGTCATGCTTATAAAAGAAAAGCAACTTGAAAAAATATATATTCATTTAATATAATATTCATAGCATCAAATAAATTAGTTCAATAATAAATTTATTTTGTTGCAAATTGTCTCAAAATTAAGACAGAAAATCAACAAAATTTGAAATGCAGAATAAATCTAGAGAAAAAGCTATGATAAAAAATAAACTAGTGTTGGTAAGTGTTGAGAAAGAACTTGAATTAAGATTTGTATTTATTAAAGCCGTAGAGAAAGCAGTGGAATCTTTTTATAGATAGATTATAGTTTTTACTCTGTCTTAGAATTGCTGAATTTCAATGGGGAACTTTATTTTATGTAATGAATGGAGATTCTTTTAATTGTTTATCACTCATATAGGGATTGTTAGTCAACATATCTAAAGCCGATAAGCAATTGCCATATTTTAACTTGCCTTAAAACTGAAGTGTTAAGTTCTCCTTTAACACACTTAAGTAAAACATTTGCTGCCCTTTTTAGTCGTATTAATTTTACTTAGTTTCTGACCTGCTTTCTGCTCGAAGCGAAACGAGTGCCAAGAACCGAAATGTATCTTGGCCACCCATGCCACGCCTCTTAGATACAGATACAGATACAGATACGGATACAGATACATAAGCGAATGTGTAGCCGATAGCTCTGCCACGAATCTTTTACATAAACACCAAACACACACACATAGACATACACACACACTTACAGTTATATACCTGGCCAGCCAATGAAAACAGGCTGAAATTGTTAACTGTAAATGTGGCTATGTATCTTTGTATCTTTGTGTCTGTGGCATGTGCTTTGTATGTGTATCTCTTCAGTCATGTGGGCTGTCAGTTAAACTATAATCAGCAGTTATACAACTATATATATATATATATATATATATATATATATATATATCTTTATCTATATCTGCATCTAGATATGAGCTTATTAATAAAACGCGTGCCAGTTGAAAGAGATCATTAATTGAATTAGCGCCTACATGAGATGAGCATGCAATTGGAAGGGAAAATGTAACCGGAGGGTCACTTAATTACCAAGGCGCAAAAAAAAAAGAAAAACAAGTGAAAATAAAGAAAGAAAAAACTTCAACTGTAAAGTAAACTCAATTGAGCACAGGAAGTGACAGCTAATTGACACAGAGTCTCAACTCCTCTACAATTTGGACACTTCCATTAGGCTTTTTATGAGTTTCCTGTGTATTTCGATTTGCATATGACAGCTATTTCATCTACACTCAGAAAAATAATCGCCCTTATTTTTAGAAACTTAGAAACTCTACTTATTATGCAGGAAGAGTTTGT